TATGAAAGAGAATTGCCATTTTTAGATGATATTAAAAGCAAGTCGAATAAAATTTTTTCTTTTTCTTTCGTAAGTGAATTTCTTTCGTAAAAAAACCTTAATAAAAATTGGCATATTTCATTACCAAGATGAGCATATTTTAAATCGATTTCTAATGCTTTATCTTCATCTTTTTTGACGCCCATTCCAAATTCGTAAGCTCTGGCAATATAAAATTGTGCTTCAGGAACTCCAGACTCTGCCGATTTCAAATACCACTCAAATGCTTTTTGTTTATCCTTGATTGTTCCTTTTCCATTTTTGTAACAGATAGCAAGATTATATTGTGCTTTAGGAAATCCAGACTCTGCCGACTTCAAATGCTTTTTGTCCATCTTTTTTTATCCAATCTTTTTCATTGTATAATTTTCCAATTAAATATTGTGCTCATCAATGTTCATAAAAACAAAGTTCCAGTACTTTTAAAGGGTACTGTAATTTATGTAATCTCTTATCTTTACAAGAATATAAAAAGTATGAAATACATGTATAGGAATTTAAATATTCATAAATTTTATAATAAAAATGCATGCAACATAAACTTAGTGTTAGATATGGGCATAACAATGGGAATTAGAGATGTTAAACATTCGATCCGGTCCAAAGATCTCCAATCTCAGGTGGGACTAACTTAGTGTAAGAATTGTCTCACGAGAACCGTCCAGTAATAGTCATCCCGCTCATAATATACCACGTGGGATTATTACACATTTATAGAACATGCATTCATTATCTATTGATATCAATATGCTTTTGGATTTCATAACGACAACAGATAGCGATTTTATTTTCTTTTAAGATATTATGCTACGATCTCAGAATTGGCATTTTAATAAAGCGCTCAAATGGTACAAATGATCCGCCATGGCAATAAAATTCACAAACTTATCGTTATCACCAGACGAGATGTAGCATAGCAGGGGATTTCGTGATTTTAATTATTTTTAAATAGATTATAAATTAATCTCGACAGCGAAAAACACTTAATGTGAGTATATTTATTTAATATAATGATTATTCAAAGCTAGAAGCTAAGTTTGATAATACATGTATAGATTTAATTCACACATACACCATGTTAGCAATTTAAATGTACATTTCTTTAATCTTTGTAATAAATGCAAATTCATTATGTTTATTTTTATATATTTTGTATATGGTGCATACCATCTAAAGTCAGCAAACCTTTGTATTTTATAAAATGGATAAACTTCTTTACTAAGAAGTAAATACAAAAATTTAATCCGTAAATATGATAGAATATGCTGTTTCTGAGCATATTTACGGATTAAATTTTGTATTTACTTCTTAGTAAAGAAGTTTATCCATTTTATAAAATACAAAGGTTTGCTGACTTTAGATGGTATGCACCATAATAAAAATAAGTAAATAAGTTTATTTTTGATATATGTATTACGAAGAATTATTTTAAGGATGATTTTTATAAAATCATTTCTGAATAGAATTATTCAAGGATCGTTTAATAGGATCCGATTCTATATCATTGGATAACAAATTCGATTGATCATTTACACGATTAGAAATCATTCAGGACTTTATCCTTAAGGACTATACATTAACTCTCTTTATAGTGTATCAAAAAATCTATTAGTAAAAATTTTCAAAAATCTACTATATCGAGAGTTTTGAAAATTTATTAGTAAATCTATTATATCGAGTGGATTTTATTAGAGACAGTTTTGGATATTATTGTGAGTTTAATTATAAAGGGGGTGCACTATAAAGAGAGTCAGTCACTGTGTATTTAATATCTCTAATGTCCAACAATCCAATCAATTCACAAACTCAACGTTAACAAATACATCTGAGAAATGCTATCATGGCAAAAATTTGCAAATTCACTGGAACCCTATAATATCTTTTCAAATTTTCGTAATGAAAATTTCACGTCAAAGTGCCTAAAGAATCTTTAATTTCAAACTGAACCACTTTTGCCTGGATTCGAGTCTGATTCAAAATTCAAACTGGACTTTGGCTTGAGTTCAAGAAAGATTTGAAGTTCAAACTGGATTAAAACTGAACTATTGTATGAATTTGAGTTTGATTTGAGATTAGCATATACTGCTTTGTAGCTCTAAACATGAACTATAACTTTATTTATAAGTGTAATTTATGATATTAGTAAGAATTTAAAGTTTACTGTTCTCATTAATTCAATAATTATTAGAATTAATAAATTAACAAAGTAATATAATAATGAAAGAACAAAGACTGAATGATTTATAATTAATAGAGTTTACTAAAGTTTTAAAGATTTTCTATAATAACTTGTATATAAACTAACTTAATATCAAAGATAAAAATAGAGACAAGTGGAATAATTAAATAGAAAAATAGAATAACTATTAAAGAAATAACAGAACTTATTGATATTATCTAATAAAATAAAATAATAATTAGATTTATTGAGACTATCAATAAAGAAAATAAAATAAAAATAATTATATTAATATAAAAATAAAATAAATAGATCTTATTAACACAATCTAAAAATAATAAAACTAAAAATAATAAAATTAATAGCTTATTTAGAATGAAAAAGTATTTATTACTTAGAATTAAGATTAAAGATAATTATAAAAATAATAGTGTATTTATAAGTATAATATTACAAGTGAAATTTTGTTATTTTTATTAAATTAGAGCATAAAAGTTTTTAGTATTTTATATTATATAATATTAAATTAATATGAATATTATTGAATGAAATTATAATATATCATAATTTATAATATTATAAAATTATGAAATTATAAAATTTTATTGAGAATGATAATATTATTTATTAATAATTAAAGTATTTTTATTTTTATATTTATTTAATTTTATTGTAAATGCTATATAACTTCTGGAATATTTATTATTAATACCAACTATTTTATACCAATTTGTAGTTTTTATTTTAGATTATAATTATACTTAGAATTGTAATTTATAATTAATATAGAAAATTAAATATTTGCTATAATATAACTAAGTAAATTCAAATTATAATAATTAAAAATATTTTTTAAACCTATATAATTTTTTGAATATTCATTCTAAATATTCATTCTAAATATCAACTATCTTATATTAATTTGTAGCTTTGATTATAATCTACAACTTTACTTAGAACTTCATTGAATATTTACTTGAATTTGAACTGGAATTTTGATTAGATTTGAGTCAGATTTGAAGTTCAAACTGAATTTGAACCAAACTTTAATTGGATCAAATTTTTGAACCAGACTTTTAATCAAATTTGAGTCCAGTTCAAGCTCAAACTAAACTAGACTCAAACTGAATCAAACTTTTTTTTAGAAGCTTAATATTTCTATTTAACATTCTTCTTAGAATTTAGATGAAAATTTTAGAATGCAATTTCTGATATAAAGCATTTTTTCTAATAAAGTCTAACCCCTCTATAGTCAACTTCTATATAGTCACAAACTCTATATAGTTATATTTTTTTAGTTCCCAACTCATTATAAACCATAAGAAAATTGATCTCCATATAGTCACAACCTTTTTATAATCACAGTTTTCATATCCCGAGGGTGTGACTATATATTTTTTAAATAATAAATGAGCACAGTAATTGTAAATGACCAGGTCATTTGTTCATTTTGTAAATAATCTCAATGACATCGAAATGATCTAGGTCATTAGGTTATTTGCCATGTGAGTTATTTTCAACCAATAGAGTTTCAGTGAGTCATTTTTAAATTTTAATTTTAATTTTATTGGATAAAAGAGGATTGTGACTTTTGAAATGACCAGTTAGGTCATTCGAACTTTAAAATTGGGTCATTTAAAGTCATCAAGTATAAGTTTTTGGTATACATGTATTAATTCTCGTGATATTCTTGATAATTGAAGTATAAAGATATTAAATATGTTTTTTATTATTGCCATTAAGTATATTAAAGCTTAACTTTCTCATTTAAATTTGCAAGCATTCTCTATTCATCTTTCAAATAATCATTTGTGTCCGAAATACTATGGATTTCACGATGAAATAGAAATCAACATGGTGAAAAGAAACGACAAAAAATTTGCGTCGTTTCATAATACCATGCCGATAATTAATTTCGGTGATCGAAAATGAAAATATCCAATCTTAACTATATGCTTAGAAAAAGATGAGTGTGAGTCGATTATAATAAGAAATAAAATAATTTCTATTCAATTCCTCGTGCCAAATTTCCGGACACGATAAAGTTTGAACTAAGAATGACGCAAATTTAGCATTTTTTGATATCAAACTCTATTTGGTGTCTTCTTGCAAATCATATTACATGTACATGTACATGTGTAAACCCCACATTTTCCATGGAAAAATTTAGTTTGACACATGTTTGGTTCATATAACAATAAAATTTTTAGCATGGGAATACAAAGTTATTGACCGACGACACGATAGAATTGTATACGTCATAACGATAGTGAGTGAATAAAGCGCATTCTTTAAGGAGACTAATAACATGTATCCGTGTTTGAAGAATTCAGAATCTAGAAGTGAAATTACATAAATACAAACGTTGGCCCAGAAAAAATTCATGAGAAAAGATTGTATAGCGTAACAACGAAGACACGACTACTGGAATAATAATATAAAATTTTCGACATAAACTTTTGTAAGTTACAATGGCTGTTTCGTCTCTTCTGGTGATCATGCTGGTTTTGGTTATATATTCATTGTTGTCTTTTGGTGGTAAGTACCAAACAAAAAAATCTGCGAAATTTCAAATATCATAAATAATAATTTTCATTATGTATTATACAGTAGAATCAGCCTCTGGTCATATCGACAATAATAATATATTGAAAGAGCGTAAAATCATAAGTAGTGGCCCTACTAAAACAACTAATACCATTATATCTATGACGACAGCAGCAACAAAAAAAGGGAACAGGTTAAAAAATAACAATAAAAAAAGTACAAAAACTGATAGAAATGAAGACAAACTTTTGTTATCGTTAAAAAATTCAAATGACACTACAAATCGTAGTAGTAGTAATCGTCGTCCTTCGACCAAGACAAACTCGACATTAATTCCTACATCAACTTTTTCAATATCATCTACATCAACTTTGTCAATATCATCTACATCAACAACTTTGTCAATATCATCTACACCAACAATAACCTCAGCTTCTCCAATATCATCTACACCAACACCACCTCATCTATCAATTAACACAACGTCAATGTCATTACAGGACTACATACACCAAATTTCCGGAAGAAGTTTGCAATCAAACATCGGTGGAATTACAATAGTCAATATAGCCCTCGCTTTGCTAATATTATCAATGATTATATGTGGTCTATTAAAAAGACGGTGTCATCGTCAAGTTGACATTATGGACCCGTTGGATAAGCGGCGGCGGACACGATCAATAAATTGGTTCGATTATACGTATTCGCCGACAGCGAGTTCACAATCACGGAACATCAAAAATAAAACATGCGGTTTTCTGTTTTAGTTGTTCTATTTTCTATGTATTTCCTTTTCACACCCATCGCTGAAATCCTAGATTAATAACTCAAAAATGAATAATTGGCAAAACTTTAAAGCTGAATCTTCTTTTTAATAAAACAACATTCCTAGTTGACTGTATTTTCGAAGATTAATATTAACGTTAACGTTAAAGATACTTTCTAAATTTACATGAGAACCTGATTATTAATACTCGTAAAAATACGCGACAAATTGACGTCGATTTCAAAAGGTTTAACCCAAAAGATCTGATTGAAATTCATCACTATCATATCAGAACAAACGAAAAATCAATCGATTGATATATATATATATATACGTATTTTTAGCTTCTATTCTTTCGTTATATTTAGGGACCGAAAAAAGCAAATTAGAGACCAAAATGCCAAATAATGAAAGTATTTTTGCAAACTACTATTATTGTGATGATGACGATGATGATGATAACAATAATGAATACAGAGAATACGCTCACTTACGAGACCAAATTTCACATGATTTTTTCAAAGGAATGAATTATGGAAAATCCACCGAAACATTAGAAACACAAATATGGAATCACCTAAAAAACAACCACACCATAGCGAATAACTTCTTCAAAAATATGATGACGGATAACTATATCCCTGCTAGCAAACAAGCGCCAACTTCATCATCTTCATCAACTTCA